AGGGAAAAAGCCACTTTTCCTCCTTTCTGTTGATGCCCCCCTCTCCGTGGACAGCACATTTTTGCGAAAGGCTTTCCCGCCACTCCCTGCTCTGGCTGCTTCCCCTTGCTAACACCCAGCAAGGGGAGAAGTTGCTGTGCCACAAACGGGCAGAGACCGGGGTGGGGGATGCTCAAGTGTGCTCCTGCATCAAAAAACTTTCCCTTATCATTCTCCTGTGTAAAGATTGGTCCCTTTTTACTCGGGCAGGTGTGAGTCCGGTTGCTAAATCTACCCCCATCAAAGAGGATCCTGGGCACTACAGTCAATAGACAAATGAGGAAGGGAGTTGCCTGCACGGAGGGGGGGGGGGGAAGACTAGTGGCAAGGAAAGAAAAAGAGGGGCTTCTTTCCCTTTTGCTGGCTGCTCTGTTTCCCCCCTTCCCTGTGGTATTAAAGGGAATCCTGCCTGGTCACTGGAATCCAAGCTGCCGCTTCTCTCCTCTCCCTGTGCAGGAGGGAGGAAACAGAGCAGCCAGCAAAAGGGAAAGAAGCCCCTCTTTTTCTTTCCTTGCCACTAGTCTTCCCCCCCCCCCCTCCGTGCAGGCAACTCCCTTCCTCATTTGTCTATTGACTGTAGTGCCCAGGATCCTCTTTGATGGGGGTAGATTTAGCAACCGGACTCACACCTGCCCGAGTAAAAAGGGACCAATCTTTACACAGGAGAATGATAAGGGAAGGTTTTTTGACGCAGGAGCACACTTGAGCATCCCCCCCACCCCGGTCTCTGCCCATTTGTGGCAGAGCAACTTCTCTCCTCACTGGGTGTTAGCCAAGGGGAAGCAGCCAGAGTAGGGAGTGGCAGGGAAGCCTTGTGCAAAAATGCACGGTCCACGGAGGTGAGGGGGGCATGAAGTTATGTGGGTGGCCACTCGAGTGCGTGCGATAGGGTGCATGCACGTGTTTGTGGCACCCAGAGGCAAAAAAGGTTCACCTTCACTGTTCTAGTGTTTGCCAGGCTCAAGAAATCAGGAATCAAGGTGGTTCAAATGAGTACAGGTTTATTCCATGGTATCTCTTAACCAGAAACTGAACTTCAAATTGGCAGTAGGTAAAGAGTCAATGGAATTCAAGATGGGCTGGAATGAGGTCTTTTGTGGGCGTGTAGGGATTCCAAACTGATGACATGCTTGATACCCCTCCTTTCAGGCTCGGCCTGGTTATCTTCTACAGGGTTGAACAAATCATGGAGCTTGCAGTTCAGAGCTCACTAGACTATGAAGTGGTATATAAGTCTAAGTGCTGTTGTTACTAGCCATCATGTGACGGCAAAGGATGATGTGACAGAATCATGGGAACCCACCATTCATTGAATAAACCACAGGATATTTCACGGCACATTACACCTAGAGAAATGATTTGTTTCAATTGCTATGATCTGGACCCTGTTTACACCCTAAATCAGACATAGTCAATCCGTGACCCTAGACAGCTAGTAATGCAGCTTCACAAGATCGCAAACAGTTAACCTTATTATGTGATTTTGTAATATAAAATTATACAATTTATATGTGGCCCAAGACGATTCCTTGTCAATCAATCCCAGACGAGGCAAAAAATTGGAATCCATGCTCTAGTCTAGTGTAAATCATAGTTTACTTAACACTAGTTTATTGAATGATTCACATTTTGACTGATAATCAAAGTCATAAACTATAGTTAGTTATTTTGGTCTGTGGTACCTTATAAATGCTGTTAATATGTTTCTTAGTTTACTTTTTATTTATTTAAGTCCCTGACCAAGTCAACCATTTCAGTGCAAAATATAAATCCATTCTTAATCTGATGGGTGGACAGGATCACAGCTTTTGTGGTTCCCTGGGTGGTAGGTAGGTATGTAGGTATGTAGGTATGTAGGTATGTAGGTATGTAGGTAAGTAGGTATGTAGGTATGTATGTATGTATGTATGTATGTATGTATGTATGTATGTATGTATGTATGTAT